TCTCAGCTAAGATATTTAATACAATGTGTAATAATGTTAAAAAGCTTAATGTGTGTATAGTAAGATAAGGAATTTATTGTTGTTTATTGTGGCTGAAGGGGCAAAAAAAATTTTTTTTCTACGAATACAAATATATACGCTTTTTAACTTTACATATATTTAAATATATTATAATTTTTTTTATAATGAAGCCAATTTAACAACTGATTTCGGTTCATAAAGCAATTGTGAATGATGCAGCAAAGGAATGTGATCTCAGTTGTAGCAGTGGCTGCAATTGCTGCATTTCGGTTAATAATTGCACTTGGCCGGCGGGCAAAGGCGGCTACGACTTTGAACACTTTTGGGGCAGCGCTTCTGCGGCCAACAATTATTAATGGCCATGTTAACAGCGGCAGGAGGAGCGGAATCAGTGAATCAGATACGATGCAATGCGAGTCGGGTATCTGAGGATCGGTATCGGGGGATAGAAGTTTGCGGCTGTCAGGCGGATTGAAGGACATGCCAATGGAGGCCCGCTTCAATCAGACGTGTGGTATTATCCGCGTGATGCGGAACCCTTTCGGGATTAGGACAAGCCGAGCTGGATGGGCAAACAAACAAATCTTGGCTGTCACGGGTCCTCAGCTGCGGCATTCAATTCCAGAGTGAATGGACATGGCTGTGGCAATGGTAATCCAAGTGCGAGTATGGAATGCTCGCTCGTTAGTTGGCTAGCGTGTGGCGGATATGAAACATATCTCCGGTTAGCAGGCAGGACATTTCCTCCCCCTGGTGGGCACTCCATTCAGCTGTCATAAGTCCCATGTTCGAGAGTTGTTCCTGCTCTGCGGCAACAGGATATTGCCCAAAAGGATACGCACTGCCCGCTCGACTGTGTAACAACTTGATGGGCATTTGAATGCAGCCGCCTCGTGGCATTTAGTTGTCACAAAGAATGGGGCCTTCCTCCTCATCCTCGTCCCCATCCTCGTCCTCGAATTATCCGCCAGAACATTTCAATTGAGTGGCCCAAAGTGAGACACCTGACACTTAAGCGCCAGGATCACGGGAGAAGGGATGGCGATGAATGATGAGCATCCACATCCACATCCACCGTCCTGGTCGAAGGCGTTCGTCTGACAAATGAGACAAAGTGACACAAGTCAATCAAAGGCCACGAAAATGCGCCGCGTATAAATTCCATTCGATTGGTCCTGACGCGGCCCAATTTACTGCCAATTACACTGTTAGAAAAGCTAAAGAAATCAATAAAATCATGCGTTAAGGTGGAGCTAATTAATGTTTGTAAATTATAATTCATTATTTTAATTATTTACCATTATAGGTTAATATCCCACGAATTAGTCTTAATTTACTGCCCATTACACTGAAATAACAGATGTATTAATGGGCTAAGGATGGTGAAAGAAATAAATGTTTGATTATTAAACGTAATTATTTTAGTGGCTCATCATTATCACAGATAATAATAAAATATCAATAAAATAAATTTCAAAGTACTATACGAAGCAATTAAAAATGTCTAATATTGCGCTGCTTTGAATCGTTTCTTTTTCGAATTTCAATCGATTTTTGTACTATCTTATAACCAAATTCGTTCAGTGCCCTAAGCCTCTTGAGTAACAATGCGAATGGCCACGTCTGGCCCCTTGGGGCCGAAATGTATTTAAATGAATTCCGTCAGCGTCAGCCTCGTCGACCCAGGTTCAGCCAACGTGATGGACGCATTTAAACTGTCAATACGCATCCAGCTCAGACTCTCCCTCTCCAGCTCCAGCTCCAGATCCATAAGGCCAAGACGAGGAAGGCGCGTAAGCTTGAAGTCACTGAAGTGGCGGAGACAATGAATCCTGTCAAATCAAGCCAACGCAGCGAGTTCGGCCTGGCCTGGTGTGGCGAAAACGCGCGAACCGGCCACCAGATATCCAGAATTCACATTCAGATTCAGAGCCCACCATCCATCCAGTCGCCAGAATTCATCCTTCATCCTCCGCCAGATGCCCGATAAGGGGGACCGACCAACTGCCCTTTTCTGGGGGCGGGGCAACCACTCAGGTTGCCAAATCCATTAGAGTTAAATAAATTTTAATTTTGAATTCAATTTGCGAGTTAACTAGGTGGAGATGAGCTTCAGTGTGCTGGGTCCAAAAGCTGCCCATTGGGTGGATTTAAAAGTTCTACTAGAGTTAGTAAAACATCAGGGGTAAGAAATGCAAATTAAGTTAATAAAAACTAAGAAATTAGCCCTTGAATTATGGTACAGACTTTAGTTGTCAGAAAAAGTCAAATTAAATATACTTTTAAAGAAAAATTAGAAAAAATAATAATATTTTTAAGAATGGGGGTGTTCATCCCTTTTTATATTTATTATTTTTTTAATTGCTTTCCGTTTTTCGTTGTTTTTTTTTTTTGCAGATATGTAATTTGAATAGAGAGTGAGAGTTAGGAAAATAGTTCCTATACACTGATTTTTCTCAAGCAACCCACGTCAGGTATTTCGTTGCCCATTATTCTGCAGCTCAGCGATTCAAAAGTTCAAAGCATTCGTCGTTATACAGGGACGCGGTTAACAGAAAAGATAAAGGGGATTGTTTACATACTTTGTAATGAAACTAAAAAACTTTTTTTTACCAATAATCCATTCATAAGATCTATTACAGATTATAACAAACATTATCTTGTGAATTAATCATTTTTCCAGCACAGACGTTTAACAGTGCACTAAATATTTTATAATTACTAGAAAGCCCCACCAGATATGGAAGACACATTTTCTGTGGATTATTGTTAGACTTAAGTGTACATACATCTTTTGGTATTGTAAAGTTATAATTGATATTTGATCTTTAACAGCATATATCTCGACTTCAGTACATGTTGGTATTTATAATATCTATATCCTATAAAGAGATCTTACTAAAGATAACTTCCTGTAGGTTTAGATGGCCAGTGATCCCCCGAACAGCACACCCCTGGCTGATATCTCATGAGCGGCGAGGACAGGCGGCTCGCCGGCGACAAGTGATGAGTGAATGCAAAGAATTTGAATATTGTGCCGCGGCGGCAGTTGACATAAATCGTCAATGACAGCAACATCGCCTCTCCGTTTGGCCTTAAACACGCAACCGGGCTGGAGCAAAGGGATTGGGATGGTGATGGGGATAGGGATATCTGGGGGACTGCCGATGGGTCCTGGCTGGCGAATGATGGAATGGGAGTGGCAAGTCCATAGAACACGACAGACAACTGTAATCCGCGCCATTGTATCGAGGATGATTGCTCGCGGGTCCGTTTGCGCCTGTCAGCGGCCTTTTCAAAATCAATTCTAATCGATTTGGGACACTTTGACAGCGCTTATTGGCAGCATGCGCGTGGCCGCGATACCAACAACACCTTGCCGAATTTCCAATGCCGGCGAAATGTCAATAGCATTTTGGCTCAAACGACCACAAGGTAGCACCGAAAACAAAAAATACGAAATAAGCAAATAAGTGGGGGGAACGCAGACAAGCACCGGGCTGCGGCAGCATTATCACTATCTCAATGGAAGCTGATTGAAAACAGATAATTAAAATCTTCTAATTAGGCGGCATGTTCACCACTGTCGGCTGTCGCTGGGAACAAGTTCATAAATCTTGCCCCCAACAAATCGTTTTGCAACATGAGAGAACGTTACACGTAAGAGCCAGCAGCAGCCAACAAAAGACCAGCGCAAAGAAGTCGCAAAAAGAGGCTGCCGTGTGTGACAAAGTTGGCCAGTTTCGGGGGCCAAATTATGGCTCGAGATTATAAGAGGTTCGAAAAGTGTTTTTTATCTTGCAGCTTAATAAACTAAATTGGCTAACGATACAATTTGTTATCAAGTCTATAAGCTTAGTAATTTAAAACTTGATTTTTCTTTTGATTCCGTTCTCTCATCACCTTCGCTTGGTTTAGTTTTCCTTTCCTTTTTATACATAGATATATTAATCTAAATTATTTCCTGAATTTAAACAGCTTACAAGGTCTAAAATATGAAATATTACGAAATTTCAAAAATTTTAAATTTTATATATGTAACAAGAAAGATTTGTGATAAAATATTCTTTTAAGACTTTTTTGAATCGAAGTGGTTATGTAGAGAGCACCAATAAATAAAAACTAACTTGAAGTGAACTTAGCTCATATTTATTATTCAATGTACGGATCACTAAAGTACATTCATGCCTTCATAACTTATTTTTATTAGCCAAAGAAAGAATTAATACAAGTCAAATCTGGTGACAGATAGTCTTTGGATTTATTAAAAGTTTGAAGAAAAGTAACCGTCAGAACTCAAATGAAAATGAAGTAAGGGAGAAGTAGTTGTACTTGCTCAGTTAATTTCAGAGTTATCCGGCGTGTAAATTATTGGTTCGGGCACTTGCTAATAAATACATACGCTTTATATACGCAATCACATTTTACATGGTTTGTGTTAAATGTTAAATAGTGTGTGTATGATAAATATAACTATAGTATAAGTAAAAATGTGAGTGTCTGACTGAATTCGCGGATCTGGCAGCACCTAACCATATTTATTTAAAAAAGTTTTTCTACACACTTGGTTCGGGTACTTGCTAATAAATACAAACGCGTTATATACGCAATCACATTTTACTTGGTTTGTGTATCAACTAATGTCAAATAGTGTGTGTTTGATAAATGTAAGTAAAATAAGTAAATATTAAATATAAGTAAAAATGTGAGTTTCTGACTGAATTCGCGGATCTGGCAGCACCAAATCATATTTATTTAAAATAGTTATTTTTCACACTTGGTTCGGGTACTTGCTAATAAATACATACGCGTTATATATGCCTCACTTGGTTCGGGTACTTGCTAATAAATACATACGCGTTATATATGCAATCACATTTTACTTGGTTGTGTACCACCTAATGTCAAATAATGTGTGTATGATAAATATAAGTAAAATAAGTAAATATAAAATATAAGTAAAAATGTGAGTGTCTGACTTAATTCGCAGATCTGGCAGCACCAAACCATATTTATTTAAAATGGTAAAAACGGAAGCCTAACAACTTAAACATTGGCTAAATTGACAATAATTTTCTTGTATATCTCCACACCTTGCAAGTAGGTTTCTGCGTGGAGGAATTCATCGTGATCGTGCAGAAGAACTGGCGTGTTATTCATTGGAGAGAAGCCCAAGGCGGGGATTCCCACATGGCGAATATAGCGACTATCAGTGCCTCCGGGAAAGACCTGAAGTTTGGTTGACAGACCTCTGAAAAATGGGAAAATTAGAGACTCCGACTTTTGAGGACGCTTCAATACATACAACTCATCAGTGGCTCTCTTGAAAGCCACCCAGAAAGGATTAGTTTTGTCCGTGACAGTGGGTGGAATGTGTCCTTTTCTCCAAATTGAACTGAACTCTAACTCAATCCCGCCGCCAGCCTCTTCGCACCATTTGGCCAGCTGGAAAGGATTTTATTTACTACATAAAAGACTCTTGAATTTAAAGACCCACATTTGCTTCGAACTCTTCGACATCAATATCCAGAGAAAGCCGAACATCGAAGCAGACGGTTAGAAGAGGAGGTACCACATTGCTCTGCACTCCGCCATCCACAGTGGTTAAGTTGATGGTGGTCACATCGCCGACCTGCAGTTCCGGATTGTCCTTCAAACGCTTTACTTGGCCCGCCCGGAACTGCATCATTTTGTCGGTTATATAGCTCAACTTCTCGCCCGCCGTATTTGGCATCAATAGCAAACCATGTCCTGCCGATCCACTGATTTTAAGTATTACACCTGGGAAAATGCTTAAATTCATCAGAGCCTGCCAAAGATTTCCCTTCCACTTACGTTTGACTGTACGCTCGGCGTAGAAAACTGGAAACACTGAAGTGGGCGAAGCTATTCCTTCATCCAGGGAAAAGCCTATGTTTAAGGACTTGAAATCCTCTGAGGTTACAAAAGGATACATTCCCTTTCTTCCTCCCACTTCTTCATCTAAATAAGACGCTCTTTTGATTAAGAAAGTGATCGGTGTTAAATGGATGAAATGGTATGTATGTATACCTGGCACAAAGGAAATGTGAATGGTTCTCTTGAATCTCGATCCACTCTTTTTTAAAGCCCTAATGGCTGCCAGATACTGCATTCCCACACATTTCATATCTTGTGATCCCCTGGCAAAAATACGTCCATCCTCATCGATATCAGCTGCAAATGGTGAATGAGTCCAGTTTTCAGGGAACACGGGAACTACGTCCATGTGGGAGTTCAGCAGAATACTGGGCAATTCGTTTTCAAGACCCTCCCAGGTCAGAACCACCACGGGATTTTGTTCATTTAGTGGATAGTAGACCTTTATAGGTAAATCCAGGTCCTCAGCCTGACGCTTCAGAAACTCCACACAGGGCTCTAAAATATAAATTACTTTTAACATTTATTTTATTCACATGGACTTTTTAAAATAATTGCCATTTTTTAACTGCTCAGACTTTAAATTTTTGATTTAAATTTTTTAAATCAGTTAAAGTTAACCACTTTGCTTTAGTACCCACCATAATTAGGGTTGGGATGCACACTTGGAATCCGCAGATATTCACGAAAATACTGTATCTCCTTATTGGAATCCCAGTTTGCGGCGGTCATTGTGTTTCTATCGAGAGTTCAGATAAAACTGAAACCAAAACTGGAACTAGGTTATCTTTTTCTACTTACGTTAATCTCCAGACGTACCTTTAATCTGCACAATAAAAACGAGCGACAGATGCCAAAGGTTTATCAAAGACATCTCTTTGAAAACAAGTAATATAGAAGTTTATTTATATTAAAGACGTTATCATGTACAACACAGTAGATAATGGAGATATACCTACTAAACATTTGCTACGTTGCTTATAATTTTTTTAAATATCTCCACACCTTTTAGATAGGTGTCCGCCCGAATAAACTCGTCGTGATCATGAAGAAGTACGGGAGTATTGTTCATGGGGGAGAAGCCCAAAGCTGGTATGCCAACTTGACGAATGTATCTGCTGTCAGTTCCACCAGTAAAGATCTGCGGTTTGATGGAGAGTTTCCTGAAATATTAATAATATTATGCGATCATTTAATGTAAAGTCATACTTACAACTCATCGGTTGCTTCCTTGAAAGCCAGCCAAAAGGGATTGCTATCATCGATGGCGGTGGGTGGAACTTTGGGCTGCTTTTGCTCGTAGGTTATTTCGATGCCACCGCCCACGTCGTCACACCATTTGTTAAGCTTTAAGAATGTTCAAAGGTTAAAGTGTGAAACACAAAGTTCAGAAGTTGACCTACATTAGCTTCAAACTCCTGATGATCCACATCCAGAGCCAAACGACAATCGAAGGCCACCATCAGCAAAGGAGGCACCACATTGCTCTGCACTCCGCCACTGACTTTGGTCAAATTAATTGTCGTCACATCGCCAATGACCAACTCTGGATTATTCTGCAATCTCTGGACCTGAGCTTTACGTAACTCCATCATCTTTCCAACTATGTAGTTTAGCTTTTCGCCTGCCGTGTGGGCCAGCAGAAGGGATCCATGACCGGCAGTGCCACTGATATGAAAATAAACACCTTTTTGTGGAGGAGTAAGAAGGAAAAAAGCAGAATAATGTAATAAAAACACCTTGGGATTTATAACTGCCAACTTACGCCACACGGCCCGCTCTGCGTAGAACAGAGGAATGTCCTCGCCGGGTGATGCCAAGCCCTCATCCATTCCAAATCCCACATTGAGGGCAAGGAAATCATCGGTGGTCACAAAGGGCCGCATACCAAAACGACCGCCCATTTCCTCATCTACTTGGCAAGACATATATACATGTGATACCATAATTTTAATTAAAGAAATAATTTTAAAATTAAATACTAACCCGACACAAAGGATATGTGGATAGTTCGTTTAAATCTCGCTCCATTTCTTTTCAGCGCTCTAATCGCCGCCAGATACTGCATTCCCACGCACTTCATGTCTTGTGTGCCCCTGGCGAAAATACGACCCTCCTCATCGATTTCAGCTCCAAATGGTGGGTGGGTCCAATTTTCTGGGAACACGGGAACTACGTCCATGTGGGAGTTCAGCAGAATGCTGGGCAACTCGGGCTCGAGGCCCTCCCATGTCAGAATGGCCACGGGATTCTGATCATTTGCTGGATAGTATACCGCCATTGGCAGATCCAACTGCTCTGCCTGACCCCTGAGAAAAACGAGGCATGGCTCTATGGAGGTAAATGTAAAAGTCGTTATTCGCAATGGCTAATCAGTTGCACATTAATAAAAAACAATTATTAAGAACTGATTGCACACATGTAAACAATTTGAAATGTTTGTCAAATGTGTTAGGATATAAAGTAAAGTTATTTATCGGACTAGTCTTCCATCTTCCAGATACTAACCGTAATCCGGATTGGGATGAACACTCGGAATGCGCAGATACTCGCGAAAATACTGGATCTCCTCATCAGATTCCCACTTGCTAGATGACATTTTTAGTAGCTCTCGAATTATTATATGCGATCCGTTTCGTTGAAGAGCTAGCAGCCTACTGACTTGTGTTAGCTAGTGTCAGAGTCGAGTTCCAGTGCCCTACTACTAATATACTTATCTACGATCGTAACCCGAGATGTGGCGGACACAGATAATTTTATCAAATTGAGAACGAGAATTTTGGATGGTGGAAAACTTGTTTACTTCAATGCCGCTGGGGGGATTACTTGCTGCACTCTATCACTACAGTCAAACTCATTGATTGGACTCCATTTTGTCAAATGTTCCTATTTCACCGGGATTTCTGCATTTTAGGCTTAAAAATAATAAAATTGAATACAATATTCTTATACTGTAATCATGTAATATTATATTTTTTGTAAGCAGATAAATAAACAAAATGAAAGTAAACAAATTAAATAACAAATTTCCTGAATAAATTTTAAATTGTAGCTCTACATCTCCATTCCAAAATAAATAATCATAAAGGTTTTAAAATTTTATAAATTTGGTTGTCTGGGTAGGGGGTTTTATTTCCCAACCCAAATTAATTTCCTCTCTATTGTGTATTTACTGTAGAACATTCAGCGTGCTCTTCATGTGTGGGTCTCCCTCTCTGTTATCGTTGGAATTTGATAAGTAAATGAATTCTAAGGTCGGTCATTAGCTCTCCTCTATCTGTGCCGATCGACTGCTTGCACACTGCTTTAACACAACCACATCTTAAAGAACTGCTTCGACACCAGAGTTTCAGACCTGCTTGAGAACTGCTTAAATCCAGTTTAAATTCGAATACAAATTTATAGGAAATTCATTTATTACATTTACAATTACTGCATACATTTTGGCGGCATGTACAACGAAACTTAAAGATTTACTAGTGACTTATATGCGAAAATACCGAACTGCGATCCCAGTCAGATCCTCAGGCCTTGCGCTCAAAAAGGACGGGGAATGGCTTGTCCTTCGGCGCCTGCAGCCAATTGTCTTCTGAATACTTGACGTTATTCTCAGTCTCAATGACGTGGAAAGTGTAGGCGTGGCGACTCTTCTGCGACCGATTCGGCTCACTTTTGTGCACCACATTTCCGTGGATGAGGATGCAAGTGCCTGAAAAAAAAAGTTCATGAAATCAAGTGCAGCATATAAAAAATATACAATGAATTAAGTTAATATCGGATTATTCCCTTAATTCCTAGAAATTTAAAACGATGTGGAAATAGACTATTTTTTATATAGGAGAATGGTATACATTTCAAAATAAACTAGACTCAATAAACTCACCTTTAGAGACTTGCATCGGCGTGAAGCTGGACTGCGGATAGATGGGAGCTGCCCGATCGTAGACCATCAGTTCGCTGGCGTCTTTGTCGGGATTGCGCATGTACCGCCTGTGGACGCCGCTCTTGTGCGATCCCTTGATGAACTGCAGACAGCCGTTCTGCAGGGTGCAGTCCTCGAGGGCCATCCAGAAGCCCACCGCCGAGTTGGGGTCCGTGTGCAGGAACCACGAGTCCTGATGGGGCGTCACTTCTCCGCCCACTCCGGGATTCTTGTAGATGTACATGCTCTGGCAGACGGCGGGCTTATTGTAGTTCAACTGCCAGCAGATCTCGCGAACACGGTTGCTGAATGTGATCGCATTGAAGGTGGGATGCTCCACATGCAGGGCGTGACCCACTTTGTTTAGGGCAATCATGGGGTCCACCAGCAGCTGACCCTCCTCGCCCACCGCCCCCTTCTCGAAGAAGTAGCGCACCTTGTCCCCGGACTCCATGAAGTACATCTCCTTGCCCTGGGCATCCTCCTGCTTTATGGTGCTGAAGATTTTCCTGTTGTTCTGCGGCGCATCCAGGCACAGGGCCCTTCCCGCCTGGAACAGGGAGTCCACTTCCTCGGGCGTGAGGAAATCCTCGATGACAATATAGCCATTCTCGTTCAGCTGAAAAGAAATGGGAGCGGGTGAAGGTCTCCGTTAATTCACGAACGTAATCTCGAGCCACAGCTTATCGCCTGCGCCGTCTCGTCTGGCGGACCCGGCAATCTCCGACCGGAATCTGAGGGGGCTGGTGGTGTTATCGCACCAACTGACCAATTGACCGACTGCATAATGGGCACGCGCTTCACAATTATGAACCCTGGGGTATTCTGTTATATTCTGTTATTATCGCATCTAAATACACTTTGACCAACAGAGAACCAACTATGTTTGTAAGCACACAAGTTTAAAGGACAGACTAACCAGCTCGTAAACTTTTATTAAAAATAACACGTATATATTTAAAAAGTACTGAAATATGCTCAATTTTATAGCATTATCAAAAAGGAGAATTTTAAAACTTAAAATAGGAATGTCCAGACTATCATTCTTTAAATAAATTACACTCTGTGTATTAGTGGTCTTTGTTCACCTTTTTAACGTTCGCTAATTAAGAAATTCCCGTGCACGTCAAAATGTTAATTCTGCCTGACATAAACTAAACCCACAGACCGAAATCCGTGCTCATTCACTGAAATCAGTCAACGTAAAATTAAAAATTCACATGTTAAAAGGGGTATAATGGGTTGGCAACCGCAATTGAAATCAAAACACTAAGAAATGGCATCTAAACAAATAATGATGAATGTTCAAAATGTGTATAGCCCATTTCTTTTCTGACAGAAGGGCAACAGAATTTCGGCTTGGTAAACAAATAATAAATATATCATTTTTTTTGTGGGTGTTTTTTTTCTCTTTCTCTTTTTCTTTTCTCTGTTCCTGCTGGCCTGAGTGTGGTTAAATTAAATAAATTTAAATTGCTTGAGCGAGATTTTTGAAAATGAAAAACGAGAGTAAAAATAGTCGCCGTGACTCAAAGGCAATCTACGAAGAATCGCCGAACGAGCACACCTGAAGTGATCGAAAAGAGGAAAGCTATCGGGTCAGCTGTCGATCTGACGCTAACAGATCCGCGAAAATAAATCATTAGAAAAAAGGGGACTGACAATATGGGTATGTTCCGGAATCCTCTATGCATATGGCTGTGTTACAAAAGGCATGTGCATGGAAAATTACACCAGAGGGCAACAATCAGTAGTTGCATTCATCACGTATGCTGCCCGCATGACATATAACAACTTATTTTGTAATCGGTTGAATTTGATAATGGCTAGAGCAATGAAGCTTATTTGCGCTGTGTCTAGCACTTACTTTGTAATCCACATGTTAAGTAATAGCTTGTTGAACTAGAACTTGGGTGTAGACTACACAGAGAAAACAAAGTCGTGCTTAGTTGAGAAATATAATCTATAAACTCAGGAAAATGTTAGAGAAATCATGAGTTATTTTAGCTAAATCTTAACTTTACAAATTATTTACTTAATAAAGTTGTATTTCTCTCAATGCTGATTGTTTAATCTCCAGTTTGAGTTCACCTTTATTGGCTTTTAAGTCCGATAAGAAACCTTAATCAATTTTATGCTGCATTGAATATTCAATTTCATTTATTACGCGTTGCCTATTTTCAAACCAGTTTGTCAACAAACTATTCTTAACCATAATTAAGCCCCAGACTGGGTGGCATATCATTATTATGAGCCCCACACTCCACCTGAAAACTAGTCTGGCAGTTAGAGTGATCATTACGTTTTTTTGTTTAACCAAATTTGTTTAATTTCCATAATCTGAAAACATTTCCTCAACCGGGAAACTTCGCTTTGTCGTTCTTTATTCTGCAGCTACAAAAGAATGCTTTTCCGCCATCGAATTTTCCGAGCCAACGAAATGTTTATGATGCTGATGGTTGTAAATAACACGATGACTCTGTGGGAACAAGTCATCCCAGGATGGGTATGACTAACTAAGAGTGCTTCCAATAAATAATACGATGCGTTCCCAAATAGATTTGGGAAAACGGGAAATATTGTTCGATCGATTGATTGATTGAATGTGATTACCCACCTCGTCCAACAATTTGCTGTGCATTTTGTGTGCGACTGTGTTTGTTTGGAAATTATTTAACAATTTTACTTTTGTTTTCGATTCGAAGAACGCGAACTTCCGAACTTTTGTTTGGATTTTGTCTTATTTTTGCTTTTTTCCCAGCGCTTGAGAACGTTTTGAACTGTTTGGCGTATCTTTTGAAACTGATCGGTAGAGAAATTTTCGAAAACTCTTGAAAATATCAGACGGTCTGAAATCGAGGGAGAGAAAGAGAGGGAGAGAAGCGGCGGCAGCTCCCACGCGGCGCTTAACCGTTACATATTCTAAACATAGAGAGCGGGCTGTTAGATAACAGCAAGCAGCTCTGTTAACGATCAGCGCGTGTCGTCGCCTCTGTTTATATACCCTTTCGTATTATAGGGCATTTTTACTTTGGACAGACGTTCGCAATTCAATAATATTTACATATTTTAATTTTTAATAATTCTCAACATTATCACCTATTGACCGAATTGGAGAAATCAGATATATTTTATTATTATTATTTACTTAATAATAATAAAATTAGCTTATAGCCTTGAGCCACTTGGTCTAATTCTAAGACCACTATTTTTGTACTTTTTATTACTAGCAATAATGTTGCTTATGTATAAAATTATCTTAATTGACCATAACATTTGAATTTCATTAAAATCTGAGTGTGTATAATGTAGCTTTCACAAAAATGGTCTGGCCGCATAAGACTGCCAAATTAATTTTATTCTAAGTGCAAGAGTATGAAAACTTCGACTTCCCTTAGGTACATGGCTTCCTTTAATATTATTCATATTTCTCTTGGCAGTCGGCTTCTTTATCAGCCTCAATGTGTGCCAGTCTAGCCATTGACTTTGATAAATAAATATCACTTTAGATTGTTCAGTATAGTTTTGAGCTATAGTTGTGGCGCAATCTGCCAGTTAGTTCTGGTGTCCATCAGCGCGCATTGAATTACTCTTTGTTTCTTTCCCTATGAAAAACCCAAATCTTTCCTTTCTTTTCCCACGTGTGCCGGCTGTGTTCATCTGTCAGAGGTCTGGGTCTCCCACATGACTTCATTGTCTATTTGCTCATACATTCATTGGTCTATTAGGTATCCTCAAGTCATATGCACATTTTTTAGCGGCACACAGCAAAAAAAATTTAAGTTCATATCTAAAAATATATCGAATATTCAGTGCTTACTTTAAAAATGTTTTTTATCCAAAAATTAAATATATCACTGCAGATAACGGTTTGAGTTTAGCTAGAATAAAGAAAAATACTACCTTAGGTCAATACTCAACTTTTAAGAACTTCACCTTGAAAATCATATGTTATCTTTTTCTGAGTGCATTTTATGTGTGTCTGTGTACCAGTTAATTGCCGTCTGTGCGTGGGCCGTTATTCGTTTGTTTCTCCGTCTGACTTTTGGTTTTGTAACTGCGATTGCCTCATCGGCTTTTCACGGCGTGCAAGAAATGTATGCAAAACTATTGTTGCTCTATGGCTAATTGCAGATGCTTTAACAGTGGCTAACAAAGTTGAGAGACTTGCGTTTTTATAATTTAAAGTAATTACTACACCTTAATTTGGTTCATGAGCTTCAATAAATGTGAGCTTTCAAATAAATTGTGTTATGATTTTGACACTTTAAATTTTTTCTTAATTTTAAAACTGGGCCCACTCCAGTAATTAAAAAAAAATGCCATCAATTTTTTATTTAAACTAATTCCTAATTAACTCTTATTTGCATTCAAAAAAAACACTTAGAACAATGTCATTCGCTGTCTTTTGTTAGCTCCTTATTAAATTTGCTGTTTTATTTACAAATACTTAAGCAATGCAAACATGCTTCCATATTAGTTCTATTCAAGCTAGCCGCCTATTTATTATGTGTTATAAGTATATTTCCTTGGCAACTTAATTTCGGACTTGTCTGTCGCACTTGTCTGTAAATGCTCAAATATTTGCACCTCTTCAATGCTGTGTTGAGCAGTATGCACAAATAAAGGCCGCAAAGTGCCACTTTTAGACTGCACCTCGACCCAGCCAACATTCGGCATTCAGTCGGCCCCACACACCCACTAACTAAGCCCGGCGACTAACCAAACTAACTAACTAACTTAATTGCACAGAAAATGCCATAAAGAGTCGCCAAATGAAAATGGCAAAATGATAAATAAGCAGGCAGGAAATTTATGCCAGCTAGCAAGAACGAATGGCATATGCACATACTATAAATATGTGGCTGTGACTTAGTACTCGTACTTTTGATGCTGCATTCGCATTTCGCATCTATTGCGGCTCCACAAAAGATTAATTACCCGCGCTGCGACCATAAATAAGGCAGGCAAATACAAACAGCGTTATTCGCAATGCAAAGCAAAAAAGTAAGTGCATGTTGTAAAATTCAAATTAGAAGCTGTGACCTTGACTCGCCGAAGAAGCGGCAGGTGGGCGGAAAGGGGCGGAAAAGGGGCGGCAAGGTGTTCGCAGCTGAACAATCAAGTCATAAACAATGTGCAGCCAAGGGGCTCCCACTCCATTACCCATCACCCATCTCCGATCGCCCATCGACCCAAGGTCATCTCTTGGTTTCATTGGTTCTTCTTGGCTGTGTGCGCGACTAATTAAATTAATTAACATCCGAGGCACGCGATTGGTCTGCCTAAACAAACAAACTGATAACACATTCAACTTAGCTCTGTTCACATTATTTTTGTTTGAATTTTTGTTTGCTTTTTGGCCATAGAAGGTGAATGTTATTTTCGTTTCTGCTGACGACTCGCGGGTCTGATTAGAATGTGCCTTGTCAGCGGGCCGTAAATTGAGCTTAGCTGCCTTTCCAATTTGCATACCCTGTAAGTGGTCAGCGGTGGATCAGCTTATAATCACAACCTGGCCATTTTTAGTGGAATCATAAAAAATATTAACTACGGCCAACAACAATATTGGAACTGTCGAATAGAAATTTAGGCACTGAAATTGAAGTTAAACGTTAGTTTTAACAGAATCAACTTGGGAAAGTCTGCAAAGATTTTTTAACTTTGGTAATATTTTATGAATGTTTTTAAAATGGTTATTATCAGGAAATAACTTTGTTAAAAAATGTAAATGTATTCGTAAAGTATTTATTTCAGTTAATTCCAAATTTTCTTATAATGTAAAACTATTCCTTAGGGTAATTCCATCTTCGATTCTCACAGAGTACCTCTCTTTAGTGATTATTTTTTTCAAATAGGATGTTGGCTTTATGCTTAATATACATATATTTATATTTAATCTATTTATTTGGGACAGGCCCCCCATGCCGATCTAAACGCTTCGATCTGACCTTAGACCGAGTGGCTTGGCAGCAGTATTGAAAGCTTGCACCTTGATATTCCACGATATTTAAAATGCATGATGCAAGTGAGAGGAAATGCTGACGGCAAGCCAGGAAAGGGAAACGATCCCATACGCATAGATAATGCACTAGATGCGGATCCCAGAAGCGAGCCACTTTCTCCGCACCAGAAAGATGATGAACTGGTCAGGTTTTCTTCAAGCACTGATCCCAGAGACGATATTCCACCTCCAACTGGGGGACATAAATCTACGATAAAATCCACCCAAAGAAATTCGCATAATTACGCTAATTACGCGACACGCTCGGACCTCATCATGGATGGATGTGGATGGTCGGATTTGTTTGGGACCTCCTGGCGTTATCGTGGTCATGCATAATTTTCGGATCAATCAACTCGCCGAAAGAGACAAGGGACAGCGGCGACTTAGAGCCATAAATCTATTGGGCCCGAGATGGCCATGCAAATGCGAAAGTGGCCAGAAGAAGACCAGCTGGGCAGCCAAAAGTGGTAGCTAAATTAATAATGTTTGTTCGTGTTTTTTTGTGTGCCTAGCGGTTCGACCGGGGCTCGCTTTGGTCCCAATGCCAGTTGAAAAATTAAAAACTAATTTGATGGCAATTCAAATTACGCACATTGAGGCAGTCCCACACTTGTCAAAAAAGGGCCCTTAAAACACTTTTCTGTTTTGCCCACACCCATAAAATAAGGGCATTTAAATATTCATTAGTTTTGTTGGGTCTTACTCCATAAAATATAAAAATTAATAAGTTGTGCGTAATTTAATAAAATTCATGTTTAAATAATCAGAATTAATTTATTTTACAAAATGTAATAAAAGCATACCTGATTACTTCTTGTTTAATTTTTATTATATTTTTTGTAATATTTAAATTGTGAGCTCCCAAACACGTGCTATTCTTAATTTTAAAAGGTTTGTTTTTTTTTAAGTGCATTTCAGGGCGAACCTTAATTTGGTTTGTAAAAAGAAGGGAGTTGGGGGCGAGGAAAAGGCGGCTGGAAAAAGAGGTTCCCCGATGGCTCCACCTTCGCAGCCAGTTGATTATGAAAGCGTTTTACAACAACAACATACCTTTTTCTTCGTCTGCCGGTCTTCAAAGGGAAAGAAGCATGAAACATGAATGACTGTCGGTAATTTATACGAAATGTGCGTTTTTGCCTCATTTCAGTATTTCCAGCATTTCCCTTATAATTACACGCTCCCCATACATAATCGCCAATCACGTCTCCAGCTGCTCCACAAAACACCAAGTTGCAAAAATCAAAAGTAAACGGTTTTTGGCACCACTTAGGCACATCTGTTGAAACCTAATTTGAATTTGCAAAAATCATAACGCCGTTTGGAATATACAAAAATCATCTTTGGCCAGAGGTTATTGATTCGCAGTCGCCGTTGCCTTTGTTGTTACCACAAAAGGGGAGATTATAAGCCAAGCGTTATAAGGCGAACAAAGCCCGAATGCAGGCACAAAGCCCACAAAAGAATCAGGGCCTTGGCCAAGAACAAAAGGATGCCCAAACCTAGACTCGGTGATCGCCTTGACTTCGTCCAATGTCGCCGCTTTGTTGGGCCCCCAGAAATTATCTTCATTTAGGCCGAGGCCCTAATTGAATTATGTAAGCGGTAAGCAAACGGTTAACAAGCGCTGTTAACCGCACACTTATAGTCTGACCTTTTGTGATCTTTTCCCTTTTTGTGCATTGCCGCCAGCGAAAACGAGCGGTTCCAAAATTGTGAACTTGGCAACGGATCACGAATCGCCAATCTGTTTTCTTTCACCTTCGAACCGGCGATTTAATCCATCACGAAAGAGTTATCTAATT